AGGCACCGAATCACGGTCGCGTGGCAGAATCTCTCGATGGCGTTCGTCCAGAAGGCTGTGGCGGAGTATCATGATAGTGTACAATGTGTTGTTGAACTTGATGGTGGAAATGTCCAATCAGAATTCAATAAGTGTAACTTTTAGCGTCTTGAAAGTCGAGGAAGAAAGTGCCTTTTTATTGCCCCCCCCCCTGTATGTGTGTTTCCATATCATCGGCTAAGATAATGAGCACTGACATCGAATACAAAGCGCACCTCTATTCTTTCTAGGACAAGGAGGCTTCCATACGGTATCTTCACGGGGTCCCAACACAAGTCAATCTCAGACGATACTCGGCCTCTCTTTGCAAAGGTTCCGGCAGCAATATCTACTGTGTGAGCGTGAGCAACAATCTGAAAATATTAAGACTGGTTGCACATGTATGTGGATAATAGTGAACGTGGGACGGACTGAGACTACCGCACTCAGCTCTAAATGTCCAGCTTAGATGTCAGAACAGTGAGCGCGAAGGCAGCAACGTATTCACTAAGCGATAACGGCACCGACTCGAGAATAACACGAAAGGGGTTATAGAGCAGCCTTCGCCAGAGGAAATGTTCTGCCTGAGGAATGGATCCATCTGTGCGAAGGTGACGCTGGTGCTGAGAGATGAAAAGAAGAAAATAAAAGTTACATGACACTTACCAGTACGAGCTGGTCCCTTTTTTGAGAACTAATTTCATGCAGTTTGGAGATGCGAACCAGTGAATGACGAACGCGGGTATTGAAATCTTCATTTGTTTCATTTCTGCAGCACATCAACTAAAAACGTAGTCTTGTTCTTTGAGCTTGCTTGCGATTATTTTTCTAATTTCGTGGAGGGACCCTGCTGAGTTTTCTTCTTGCGGCATGAATCACACGACATAGAGACAGATGCACGCACTCAGCCATGCTTGGCAGACTTTTTCGTACCTTTCATAACTCAGCTAGGCGTTGGGTTGATTGTATTAGGTTGTCGCATAAGTTCTTATACACGTGTTTGATCCTCTCCTATTTCGTTCGCATGGATGTTGGTATTACGTCATCACGTGTGCGTGACGTGTACATTATACTCTTTCATTACACTAGCTATCACTCACCGAGCTTGCATTTGCAGTACACAATGTCGCACAATTTGCACTGTGACAAAACGTACCTGCGCCACTGTTTGGTTTTGCTCCACGATTTCGGCTGGAATGCAAAGGAAGCCCATACCAAGCTGGTGGATACATACGGTGAGGACGTCATCTCTTACATGACATGCAAGAATTGGTTCGCCAAATTCAAGAAAGGAGACTTTTCTCTCGAAGATGCTCCGAGGTCGGGTCGGCCGATGGAGTTGGATTTGGAAGTACTACGTTCCACCGTGGAGGAGGACCCGTACCTCACCACCAGAGAAATGGCGACCATGCTTAGCTATGATCATTCGACGGTTGCACGTGGACTAGAAAAGCTCGGCAAGGTAGCAAAGCTTGGTCGATGGGTCCCACATGAACTGTCCGCTTATGACCTCTCGAGGAGGGTGACCACCTGCACTTCTCTCCTCACTTTCCAAAAGAGGCTTCACTTTCTCAACTCGATGATCACTGGAGATGAGAAGTGGGTCCTCTACGATAACCCTGTGAGGAAGCGGCAGTGGGTCGACAAAGGAGAACAGCCAGAAGCCACCCCAAAGGCCGACCTTCACCCCAAAAAGGTTCTCCTGTCCTGTTGGTGGTCCAGAAGAGGCATGGAGTACTGGGAGCTGCTGGAGAAGGGACAGACGATTGACGCTTCCACATACGTGACCCAGCTGCGGAAATTGAAAGATCACGTCGACCGTACTCGTGGAAGGAATGCGGAAATCTACTTCCACCATGACAACGCCCGACCTCACACTGCAAAGGCGACCCAGGCCGAGCTGGAGAAGTACGGATGGCTGATGGTCGCCCACCCTCCCTACAGCCCTGACCTTCTGACTACTGGCTGTTCAGCCACCTGCAGCGCTATCTGGACGGAAAAAAGTTCGAAACAAAGGATCAGGTCAGAAAGGCACTCGACGACTTCTTCAAGTCCCAGCCCCCGTCGTTCTGGAAGGATGGAATCGACAAGCTGCCTGAGCGCTGGCGTCGAGTAGTGAATGGTGATGGTGCATACCTCTAATCTCCAGGCTGGTTCGTTTTTTGAGATATTTACAAAAAAGTCGTGTATAAGAACTTATGCGACAACCTAATATAATCTCCGCTGCTATCGATGAAATTTACTTTCAATGACTCTATGATAACTTAGCTGCCTCCAGATAATTGTGGTTTGTAGATAGGGGAAGGTAATCATCTGCTTCAAGTTCAGCCTTTATTACTAACCTGCTTGTCTTGTAGACATTGCCTTTGGGCATGAAGGAACCACTCCCGGAGAGCACAGCAAACTTTGTGCTCTCCAGTAGGCCCTCACTTTTGGGTATGTGACAAGAGGATCGTAATTTGCCGCGCTGCTGGGCGTCGCGTGCGACGTCCCGCCCGCAAAGGACGATGGTTTCAGGCAGTAGATGGCGACAACATGCAATTAAGGACCGAAAACAGTAATGAGTGTCTACATGAAGTCCGGTGCTCCATTCGACAGGTTAAAACGAGTTATGAAAACGCCGCGCCCATCGCCGCGCGTGGCGGTGCGGCGAATTACGATCCTCTTTACCGTCTCCCCCTTTTCTGACAGCCGACTTTGCCACGCGAGGGATAGCATCATCGTGATGGAGGTAGGTATCTGTCATTTTGTGCGGTTCTGGAGGATCGCATATGCCATCTCCTGTAGATGGCTATACCACAAAAGGACATTCTCTTCCGCGGGTCACTTCACGGCCTCCTAATCAGCGTGCCTTCATGTGGTAGCAATTGACGCTCGCATATGTCACTGACGTATGAGTATCAGTTTTTGTTCCCTATTATTATTTCAGTCAGGATATGCGGTAGTGAAAAAGCTTGGAGAATGCGGGAACTCTTTTGATAAGGCCCTTCATGATCGCCGACTGTGTCGCCTGAGCCGCGCACCTTGAAAGGGTGAGCGGAGTCGGGAGACGAAACACGGCTGTCACTATCCTCCAGCCCGTTCCTGTGCAATTTTGAACGGAAAAGGTGGTGCGCTACCGCAGCTGCAGACCCGTTCACCTTGCACATAGCAAAGACCGTCCTCCGAGGTGAGTGGGCAGTTTGTCTATGATTAGGAACTCGAAGAGGCGATACTAGCCATAGAGGACAAATAAGAACCCGCTAAAGTGCACCATTGGACTTCTTTGTGGCCGAATTAAAGTGTTATGCGAGCTCACACAGAGGGAGAGAAGGTGAGTAGAGTGAAGAGCGAGACAGCAGATGCTGTCGCACCCAGGTATGTACCATACCCGTCTCAGGCGAGAAGCGGATTTGATTTGCTGATCCAAGCCTACTTTAGTTCCCGCAGTTTTGACATTTTACTTTCCTACAAAGGGATTCGTGCTAGTTAATAGTTACTAGTAATATGTACCCTCAGCCGCCCAAAGTATCTTGTGTTGCACGACCTTAACAACTTTCTTCAGGTACTCTTGAAAACCTACATCCTCCATTTTAGTATGTGGTGTGTAATTCTCATCAACATTGAACTGAGCTCGTTGTTCCGGAGTTGCGAATTCCGGCATGCCCATTGGATAATTGTTGAAGCTTTCAAATAATCCAGGTTCTACTCTAAAAGACTTCACAGTTCTCTTGAACGCTGATGCGTCAATGAAAAAAAATGAGTGATATGAGAAAAAAAGAGTGGTAAGGACCGGGACTCATGCGGATCATTGTACAGTTTGTCCTTGAGGAACGTGGTCTGCACGTTCCTCGTGCAGGGTCTCTGATAATGGGTCATCCTAACCTGCAGAACTCTCGTGTTTTAAAACTGCTTTTGACATTGCCGTGATTTTAGTGTTTTTGCGCGAAACAAACTGTTTAGGCATTTTGAGTTTCATACCCTATTCACAGTTTTTCTTCGCTGGAGATCTTCTACTACGGATTCTGAGAAATCGATAAGTTTCAATAGTCTGAACCGCTAACCTTATTGGGGCTTTACATTTGGCTACTTGTTTAATAGCATACGCCGTCTGAATGCATCTCAGAGACGGCGAGCAGTAGATCAGATCTGAAATTTTAACCAGAGTCGCGAAGAACAGAATTTCACTTTACTCCAAGAACATTGTCTCAGTTATTTGTGCAGATTTTTGTCTTCGCCAAAAGTGAAGCACAGCGGCATTTGGGAACATATTAAGGGATTACCTGAGCGAAGGATCTCGTGCGAAGAGGGCAGACGTAAAGACAGCCCCCGCGCTCAAGTAGTACATGGTCGTCCTTCCTTGTGCAAGTAGTCCAGCCCCCAAGCTAGAGACTGTCCCACTCTCGCGACTCCACAGCGAGCGAGGAGCGAGCTACAGCCGCTGAAAGTTCTAGTTCTAACGCCCGCTCAGTTGGACCGCCCACTTGCTAGATGCCCTCTGACGGAGGGCCGCTCAGTTGTTCTTTGTTGGGGCGGCGGGCATTAATCGGAAGTGCATGTCCTTTTTGCTGACCGCGCTGGTGCCAATGAGTAATTCTGCTCTCCTTTATTATAAAGAGCACATTCAGTCAAATGCAACCCATCTTGCAAGGTAAAACGCGTATCACTAGTGATGCAATTTCCGTAGTGCAAAAGCTCCACGAGGCGCTGAAAGATGTACACTACCTGTAACCCTAGATTCGGACGCCGAGCTTTTGCAATTTCTTTTGTCAAAGGCCTTTGGTCCGTGTTTTTGGTTGCTTTTTCGTATTCTTTTCTTCGCATTGGATGATATCGTCTACTGCGAGATGCGAAAATAGCGTTTTGTTAGCCAGGGGTTGCATAGAGACCGAAAAGCGTTGTGATGTCAGGGAACAGTTTTATTTGTGGTGTTCTCGAAAATCTCCTTGCTTTTCTTTTCCTTTTTGGAAAATTACTTATACCTAATGTTTCATGAAATTGAAACGGCAACTATTCTGATACTTATCGCGGACCACTGTCTTAGCATTAGAAGTGAAGGCTTTCTTCGCGGCACAAAGTATGCGCCAATGAGGCTCGCCTTGCGTTCTACTGCTTCTGTACGCGATGCCGGTGCCACATTTACGACGCATCCAATTCGGATCAGTTCACACGTACAGTCACAATCACCTAATGCTGTGAGGGACGTCGATTAGAGCATTGCCAAGGCAGCTTTTTCGCCATCTGGGTCTGCGACTATCGCAAAGACAGGCTGTTCTGGCTGCGCTCACAACTCTCTCCTCTCGCTCTCTCTGCAAACCATCCTCTCTCTCTCTCCTTCTCTCTCTTCTCTTTAAAGTCTCATCCGCTTGCAAGGATTAAGCTACATCTTCTGGCTAGTCTGATTCACCTCTCATGTGATTGAACCACGAGCCCACAAAGTCTGTCAGAGTTCAAAAAATTCTCCTAAAAGAAGCTCGTTTATTACGAGCGCTATTCCTCTGAGGCCACTTTCATTTTTAGCGCTATCCGTCCAGTGTGCAAATATCACTCCTTTCACCCATTCAGTTTTGATCATCTTTGCACGCATGGAGCGAGGTTTCAATACTCTGTATTATATTACAACTTTGTAAAGTAGTCCAAAAGTTATGAGCTCTTCAGTTTCCGATGAATTTCAAAGTGGGTTCTTAAGGTGCTCATGACATCTTTTTGATCCAAGGCTTACAAATTCTAATATTTGGCTCCTTCAAGCTCTCGGTGAGAAATGCTTCTGGCTCACCTGGAACGTAAGCAGTTGAGTACAT